CGGGGGTCTCGGGTGTGTTTCGGATGCTCAACGGGTCATTTTTGGACTTAGAGGATTGTAGAAAATGTAGCAGGTCTCCAGTTCTGGTTTCCTTCTTCGCGTTCGCGAGTGGGGTCTCGCGTTCGCGAAGAGGAGTTGGGGCTGGTGGAAGCTTAATGCTTCGTGTTCGCGATGATGGTCCCGCGTTTGCGAAGCTTAGAGGTCGTATACTTATGCGTTCGCGAAGAGGGTCCTTCCGTGTTCGCAAAGAAGGAATTACCTGGGCAGATATAAAATTTCAAAGTCGAGGGTTTAACCATTTTTGTGAAAACTAAAGCTTGGGAGCTCGAATTTGAGCGAGGTTTTGAGGGATTTTCAGAGATAACGATTGGGTAACGATTCTTAGCTCCTTTTTGCTTATAACCCATTCATCTAAACATGAATTCATCATTTAATTTCGGAATTTGTATGAAAATTGGGGAAAAGTTCTTAGACCAGGAATTTAAGTTTTGATTGGGGATTTGAAATTGGATTGGGATAAAATTGATATGGTTAGACTCGCGAGAGTGTGAGGATTCTGGAAATGTAAATTTTATCCAATTCCGAGACGTGGGTCCGAGGGGCGTTTTGGTCATTTTACCTAATTTCGCATATTAGCTTAGAATTTAATTGTAGAATCAGTTACTTGAAGTGTTATTTATATTATGAAATTGAATTGAATAGATTTGGGCCATTTGGAGTTGAGTACTCGTGGCAAGAGGGTGATTTCGGGTTGATTTGAACTAGTTCGAGATAAGTGGCTTGTCTAACCTTGTGTGGGGACCTTCTCCTTAGGATTTAGTATATTTGATAATTGAAATGCCTTGTATGTGAGGTGACGAGTGCGTACTTGAGCTAATTGTTGAAAATCCGATTTTCTTTAAGTTATTTCGATCATTTTTCTTTTTCCTGTTTTATACTACTTGCAAGTTAAACCTGTTGTTAGCTTAGAAAAAGCATGTTTAGTTGACTTAATTGCTTATTTGCTTAAACTTCCTTAATTGCATTATGTGAATCATGTTTAGGGTAGAGTTACCTGTTTACTTTGTATGAACTTGAGCTTATTTAAGTATTTTCCTTGCGTTGTTGCTGCGTGTTTTACTTTGGGACTACGGGATGGTATTCCGGGAGATCTCCCTGCACTTTTACATTGGAACTACGGGACTGCACCCGGTAGATTCCCTCTTTACTGAGTATTTACATTTGAGGCTACGGATCAGTATTTCGGAAGACCTCCTTACATTATGAGTTGGACTACGGGACGGTATCCCGGGAGATCCACTAATATTTACATTTGGGACTAAAAGACGGTATCCTGGGAGATCCCCGGTTGTTATCTTTGTGCTGAGTTGTATTCTCCTTCCGTGTTTACTTTGCCTCTGTAGTAGTTGTTGATGTCCATTATATCCGTATTACTTTTACTGTTGCCTTAATTATACGGTTTTGTTCTTCACTGTCAACTTATTATTTTATTTAATCTCAGAAGGGCCCTAACCTTTCTCGTCATTACCCGACCAAGGTGAGGCTTGGCACTTACTGAGTACCGTTGTGGTGTACTCATGCCCTTTCTGCGCATGTTTTCCATGTGTAGATCCAAGTACCTCTACTCAGTCCTACCACCTGTGAGGCGAGGCGACTGCTCGAGAGACTTCGAGGTACATCTGCCGCGTCCGCAGACCGATGAGTCCCTTTCTATTCTCGCTTTTAAACATTTTTTCTTCTGTATTTCTTTTCCTTGTTATATATTCTAGAGTTAGATATTGTTAGATATCCAAAGGCTTGTGGTTCCGTGAGTTTCCGGATTTTGGGATATGGTATTAGATTCTGAGAAGTTGTGTTGTATATGTCGAGTGGCATTTTAAATATTGTTTTCATTCGGTTATTTTGGCTTTTGATTATTTCTTCCGCAAGTTTCGTTTATGTTCCGCATTTGTTAGGCTTACCTAGTCGTAGAGACTAGGTACCGTCACGACAGTTCATGGAGGGCGAACTGGGGTCGTGACACAATACATGTCTGCCCCAAGTATGCCTCATTTGGATGCAGCCTATCATGTGCTCAAGTACTTGGCTGGGACCACTACTCTAGGTTTGTTATTGTCCAATTCTTCTAATCTTGCTCTTCATGGATTTTGTTAATCTAACTGGGCTAGTTGTGCTGATTCTCGAAGGTCTGTTATTAGTCTGATCCTCTTCCTTGGTGGCTGCCCTATTGCCTGGAAATCTAAGAAGCATCCCACCATTGCCCTATCCTCTGTTGATGTTGAGTATAGGGCCTTGCGGCTGCTAGTTGTTGAAGTGACTTGGGTTCTCAGGCTATTGATTGAGCTTGGTGTTTCTAATCCTACTCTTGTTGCTATTTATTGTGACAGCCAGTCTGCGACACATATTGCAAAGAATCCTATTTTCATGAACGGACGAAACATATTGAAATAGACTATCATTTTGTAAGGGATGCTCTGAAGTCAGGGGTTATCACTTTACATTCTATCTCTACTTCCTTACAAGTTGCTGACATTTTTACTAAATCTCTGTTGGGTGTTCATCAACAGGTATTCATCTCCAAGCTTGGATTACCCTTACAACTTGATTGGGGGGGGGGGGGTT